GATATGACAGTAAGATAGAGTGCAAATTGATCCTAACCTAAGCCAACCTAAGATATTCCCCAAGAACTGCTCCTTCCACTAGCTTACAAATCTAAAGACCTGAGTTTTTAAAATTGACAATATTTAGGGCGCCTAGGTGGCTCAGTTGGTTAAGCGACTGCCTTCGGCTCAGGTCATGATCCTGGAGTCCCGGGATCGAGTCCTGCATTGGGCTCCCTGCTCAGCGGGGAGTCTGCTTCTCCCTCTGACCCTCTCCCCTCTCGTGCTCTCTCTCATTCTCTCTCTCTCAAATAAATAAATAAAATCTTTAGAAAAAAATAAAATTGACAATATTTAGAGGCAGCTGGGTGGCTCAGTCCGTTAAGCATCTGCCTTCGGCTCAGGTCATGATCTCAGGGTTCTGGGATAGTGCCCTGCATCAGGCTCCCTGCTCAGTAGGGAGTCTGCTTCTCCCTCTCCCTCTGCCCATCTCCCCGCTGGTGCTCTTCGCGGGCTCGCTCACTCTCTCAAATAAATAAAATCTTAAAAAAGAAAACTGACAATATTTATAATGATACTATCATCCTTGGTCTCCGCCTAAATCTCTTACCCTACATGGAGGAAACAAGAAAAGGTTTCAGAAGAAAATGTTCCTGCCACCCCACCCCCGGAGTATGTCAGTTTGGTGCCTTCCCTCACTTCACAGCAGCCATACCTTCATCTCCATTTTGTCTACTTCCAAGCGGAAATTTAAAAAAAACAAAACAAAACTAGTGTTAAGAGGGGAGTTGGTAGGGGCGCCTGGGTGGGTCAGTCGTTAAGCGTCTGCCTTCAGCTCAGGTCATGATCCCAGGGTCCTGGGATCGAGCCCTGCATCGGGCTCCCTGCTCTGCCAGAAGCCTGCTTCTCCCTCTCCCACTCCCCCTGCTTGTGCTCCCTCTCTTGCTATCTCTCTGTCAAATAAATAAAAAAAATTTAAAAAACAGGGGAGTTGGTAAAGGAAGAAGGGGTAACAAAAAAAAAAAAATACAGGTTTATGGGGCACCTGGGTGGCTCAGTCAGTTGAGCATCTACCTTCAGCTTAGGTCATGATCAAGCCCCGCATTGGGCTCCCTGCTCCGCAGGAAGCCTGCTTCTCCCTCTCCCACTCCCCCTGCTTGTGTTCCCTCTCTCTCTGTCAAATAAATAAATAAATAAAATCTTAAAAAAAAAAAAACCTTTTCTAGCCATGTAAGGCAGTATTATTTCATTATAATTTAACTTCCCAGCTATCTCATAACTTCTAAACAAAAAATGTTAGCCCTAAAATGTATCCACTATGTGGCAAAACTGGTGATCAGATACATTCTTGATAGCAATCAATATAAATTGGTACAACCCTTAAAAAAGGCAGTTATGTCAAAGAGCAAATTATAAACAACCATATTTCTAATCTCCCCAAAGGAAATACTCCAAAAATAGGGATGCATCCCAATTCCAGGTAAGATGGGGTAAATATATTCCATCCTATCACTCCCACTGGAATGTAGCTATAAAACTTGAGCAGAATGAAAGGAGCAGCTGAGGATTCTGCAAAGTAAATGGCTTCTTCTCATGCTCACATGGAGCATGCACCAAAATACAGCATACTGTGAGTCATAAAATACATCTTAATAAATTTAAAAGA